TTTTCTTAACTTTAGCACCAAATAAAAGCCAAATATTTTTAGACCTTACATGGATATATATAGTGCCTAGATAATAATGCATGTGCTCATTTTCTTGCTGACTAGGTTGATTATTTGTCTTAAGTGCTAGAAAAATAGACATTTTAATTATTAGTAATATCTTAATTTATATCGTCATTATTGATATTATTTTTGAAAAATCTCAAATTATTCTTTATTCATGACTCATGTGGCCATTTTATTTATTCTTGCATCTCAATACATAAATTCAATGGTATCTATGAAATTCTCCATTTTTATGGCTGGGGATATAGCTCAGTTGGTAGGGTGCTTTCCTCACACGCACAAGGCCCTAGATTCAATCCCCTTGGGATATAAATGTAAAATTGAGGTACTATTAACAAATATGGTAAAGTAAAAATGACAAATCAATTTTATTATAACACAGTAAACACTTTAAATACACTGGAACGAACTATGTAAGTTATTGAGAAAGTTAAAGATAATGTTGCGTAAAAAATTAGTAAACTTCCAGACAGAAACTATCATTCTGTGTTTGAGAAACAGTTGTAAAAAATTTTTATTTACATGACAGTATTGAGGACAGTGAGATAACGGTTTGGCTAGGTAGATATTTTCATACTTGGAAAGCCATAATATTAGGGAAATATTGGGATACATGTGGTAGGCAAGACACAAAAACCATTTTTGAAGAGTGTGATGGTTGGAATGTAGTTAGTTCAGTTATTATAGAAGAAAGTATGGAGAGTCCTCCAAAAACTAAAAATAGAGCTACCACATAATCTTGAAATTCCACTATTGGGGGTATACAAAAAGGAATGAAATGAGCATGGCAAAGAAACATCTGCACTACCCTACTGATTGCAGCACTGTTCATAATATCCAGGAAATGAAAACAACAGATATGCCCATAAACTGACAAATGGATAAAGAAAATGTGAAATATACAAAGAAATATTATGTGACCACAAAATTAAAAGAAGTCCTGTCATACACAACAACAGAGATAAACATGGAGGACATGAAGTTAAATAAAATAATCCAGGCACAGAAAAACAAATATTACCTGATTCCACTTATATGTGAATTCTACAAAAGTCAATCTCATAGATGTTGAGAGAATAGTTGTTACCAGAAGCTGGGAAGAGTGTAGAGGGTGGGAGGATGGAGAGATCTTGGTCAACTAGAACACCATTACAGTTAGGATGAGTAAGTTCTTGTGTTCTATGGCAGAGGAGGGTGAATATAGCATTGAATAACTGAAACTAGATAGAAGGGAGGATATTTAAAATATATTTACAATAAAAAATGATAAAAGTTGAGATAGATATTACCCAGGAATCAAAGTAATTACATTGTACATACTAATATGTACTTATGAGGTGTTAAACAAAATAAATCTTTGAGAGAAAAAAATATTGCCTGGGAGGGCAGAATAAATGAGAAGAAAAGCCAGGCACTGTGGTGCACACCTGTAATGTCCATGAGTTTAGAGACTGAGATAGGAGGATGCCCTCTAGCGAAGAATACAGGTGATTTGGATAAGGCAGAGGGGAGTGAAGGGAGTGGAGGAGGGTAAGAGGGTAGGAAGAATAGTGGAATGAATTAGACATTATTACCCTATATACATATATTATTACATGACCAGTGTGAATCTACATCATGTACAACCAAAAGAATGAGAAGTTATACTCCATTTATGTATGATATGTCAAAATACATTTTATTGTCAATTATAACTCACATGAACAAATAAAACAATCAAGTATGCATCCCTTTTCTCCATTTATACCATCATCATTCTAAAGCAAACCACTAGCCGGGGCTTGGAGGCCCTGGGATACGTCACAGAAATGCTGTGGGAAACCAAAATTTACACATTTAGTTTCCTCATGAGAGCCCTCATTTGCATGTTGAGGTATTCTAAATAGCAAAAACTATGAAATGAACTTACACAAATATAATCAATACTCAGAAAGGTACTCTACATAATTGAAAATCAAAACTGACAGGATTTCAGAGCATACACACACACACACACACACACACACACGTATATGTTTAGGTGTAGCCACAACCCCAGCCCAGGAATTCAGGGCTTAATATTTCCATTAAAATGTGTAAGCTTGGTTGCATCTAGGCATATTTATTAAGCTGCTACACTTAAAAATACTTCTAAGAAATGATACTCCTGATATAGTTCTCAATCCCACTGTGAAATCCCAAAGGTAAAAAAAAAATTAATTATAATAGTGCTGGTTAATGTTAATATTCTTAATTGCCTACTTTGATGCTAACTTGTAAAACCCCTAAGTAAAAACTCGTTATGACAAGTGACCTTGTGGTAAAAATAAAAATTAGCCCTAACTTTGCTACCAGCTTCTTTTATCAGAATGGTGATCATAATAAATTCCCACCTATAGAACATGAACAGAGGCTCAAACATATTGAATGATGAAGTGAAAAAAATAGAAAACCTTTTTTTACTAAAACTGGTTGTATGAACAAAAAAATTGACATGAAATATGTGTGTTACTATAAAGACATGTACTTACAAAATGCATGTCTCAACAGAGCAAAATGTCACCAGAAGACAAATGCCTTAAAAACCTGACCATTTCAACTACAGTTTTTCTCCCATTTTAAGACAAAAACAACTGATAATTAAATTTCCACGAAGCTTGAGCAAGACACACTGGACAAAATACACATCAAAGTATTTCAGAATGAATATACCCTTTGCACAGCAAAAAGGGAAATGCCAATGGATGAGTAATTGTACTTACTGGGAAATAGTGAACTAAAAAGCAAAGTTAATGAGGACTTACAAAAATGGTTTCCATAAAAATGATTGATTTAAAATATGAAAGTCATTGATTTATAAACAATGAATCATCAAAAATCACCTAATTGTAATAAAATATAAGGTACAAGAAAAACACAAAAATTATATGTACAGAATGTAGAGAATAGACTTACACTGAAAACTTGTAATTTACACTTTTGGGGGGACAAACAAAAGAAAACACTGGTAGATAAAGTTTAGAACACAGCTTTTAAAATGATACACCGTATGCACAGCTTTAAAAATGATACATGTGTACTCCCATTTAAACCAGGTGTTCCTCTTTCTCCCTTCAACATCCCCCCATTCAGGCCAGCCCCCAACCAAAGTTTCCCTTCACACTTACTTCCCCAACAAAGTCCCACTACTGAAGCCAGGTACCGGCCCTAAATCCTCCACCACACAAACTCAGCTGCCTCCAGGAGCATCCAGGAACATCACCCAAGTGCCTCTGCCCCACTTCCCTGCAACCTCTGACACACCCACTCAGCTCCTGCCAAGAGCACCCAGGAACAGCACACTAACTCCTATGCCACACTTCCCCACCCCAACAGGCCTTAGCACTAGTGCCCCCTCCAGGCACTCCCTCACAGCCGGCACTCACTACCCCACTTAGCTGCCGGTCCCCCTGCACCTCTCCAGCCAGGGTTACGCCCCCAGAGGCCTCACGACGTGTGTCTGCTCCAGTCATCACCTTGCAGTCACAGGCACTGAGTGCCCCCTCCCCACACACTACCCCACCTAGCCTCTGGTCCCAGGACACCTCTCCTGCAAGGGTCCAACCCCAACAGGCCTCAGAAAGAGGCCCCTCTCAAGGGGCCAGCACAGCATGCCCCCTCCACACACACTACCCCACCCAGCTCTAACTCATCCAGCTCCAGTCCCCAATGCCTCTTCAGCCAGGGCTGCGCCGCCCCCCCCCCCCCGCAGGCCTCAGCATGAGTGCCCCTCAAGTAACTGCCTCACAGAGACAAGCACAGTGTGCCCCATCACCACACATTACCCACCAAACTCCTTCACCACCCAGCTCCAGTCCCCTAAAACCTCTCCACCCAGGGCCATATGCCACATACCACTGGGGACACTGGAGTCCTCCCTACCTGAGACTGTCCTCATAAGTCCACAAAGACCAACAGGAGGTGGTGGTGAGGGCCATGCTGTCCCTGTGGGAGGCCCAACATCCTCACCAGGAACCATGAATGAGAAAGGACAGCAAGGACACCTTCCCAGAGGGTGGCATAGTCTAGGGGCAAGACTGGAGCATCCCAGGCAGCCATCAGTAGAAAGGATCTCTGTGATTTGAAGGCCCTAGCTTCTCCACAATCTGCAGTACACTTTTAGGCTGCCCAGAAATCCACTGTGCAGACGCAGTTTGGGATAAGTCCCTACATGAATCAGTGAATGTGTGCAAACTGCATGCACATGTGTGTCGAGGGCGGGGCTATGTGCAGGGATGTTCCCAGGCCCTACCTCACAGTTATAGAAACAGTTCAGCCCTCCCAAGGTACTACCTCACCCAGCTCTGGTCCCCTAAGACCTCTCCAGCCAGGGTTGTGCCCCTACAAGCCTCAGGACGACTGCCCCCTCCAGCTACCCCCTAGCAAGAACAGGCACAGTGTACCTCTCCCCACAAAAGTTCCTACTCCACCAAGCTCCACCCCATTCAGCTCTGATCTCCCAATAACTCTCCAGCCAGGACTGCACCCGCACAGGCCTCAGCACAAGCACCCACTGTAGGCATTGCATTGCAGTGACAGGCACAGCAAGTACCCTCCCCATGTACTACCCCATCCAGTTCCTGGTGCCCTAACACCTCTCCAGTGAGGGTCTTGTACCCACAGGCCTCAGCAAGAGCGCCCCCTCCAGGCATCTCCTCACGGGTGCAAACACAGTGTACCCCCTCCCCACCAACTATCTCACCCAACTCCGTTCCCGTGAAGCCCCTTCAGCCAGGGCAGTGCCCCCAAAAACCTAAGCATGAGCTTCCTCTCCAGGCACCACTTTACAGAAACAGCATGCCCCCTCCTCACACACTACCACACCTACCACCTACCCCATCCAGTCTGGTCCCCCAACACCTCTCCAGCCAGGGCCATACGCCACACATTGCTGAGGACACTGGAGGTCTCCCTACCTAGGCTCTGTTCCCAGGTTCAGCAGGAGGGATCTCAGGTACTTGAGGAACATGCTTCTCCACTGTCTACTGGCCACTTCTGGATGCCTGGAAACTCAGAGCACAGAAACAGTTTGCAATATGCCTGCCCAAGCCTGTGTGCCTCATGCACTCACCTGTGTGTTGAGGGTGGGGGTTTGCCCAGGAATGTTACAAGGTAATGCCTAGCAGAAACAGGCACAGTGTGCCTTTTCCCCAGACACTACCCCACCCAGCTCAGGTCCCCTAAGATCTCCAGCCAGGACCCTTCCCCCACAAGCCTCAGCATGGTTACCCCTTCAGTCACTGCCTCCCAGGGACAGCAGAGAGCATCCCCTCCCCTGCACTGTCCCACCCAGCTCCTACCCCACGGAGCTCCTACCTCACCCACCTCCTACCCCACGCTGCTCCTGGTTCCCTAAGAACTATCCAGCAAGGTTCCCATCCCAAACAGGACTCAGCAGGGTCCGCGCATCCATGAACCGCCTTACAGGGAGAGAGACACATTTTGCCTCTTCCCCATACATTACTTACCCAGCTCTGGTCCCATGACGCCGCTCCAGCCAGTGCTGCACCCCACAAACTGCTGGACACACTGGTGCCCTCTCTACCTGAGGCTCTCCCTGGGATCCACAATGTCCAACAGGAGCACAGGGGTGAGCGCCAGACTGCCTTTGTGGGAGGCCTCACATCCTCACCAGGAACCGCAAAGTGGAAAGCCAGAAGGGACTTCATCCCAGAGGGCGACAAAGCTTCTTGGCCAGGAGCAGAGCAGGCCAGGCAGCCTTCCAAAGGTAGGTCCGCAGCTACTTGAAGACACGGGCTTCTCCACCATCTGCCTGAAACTTCTAGGCGGCAGGAAACCCACTGCACAGAAGTAGTTCACAGTGCGCGTGTGGAGCGTGCGCGCGTCGAGCGTGCGCGCATCATGCATTCACTTATGAGTTGAGGGCAGGGCTGTGTCCAACAATATAGGGGTGGGGCCACATGATGTGCAGGGAGGGCGAGCGGGAAGCAGAGTTCCCGGGAAGATGGGGAGGATGGCTTGTGTTGCAGGAGGGGGCGCTGCAGAACTTGCCCAGGAGGTGGCATAGGGTACCGGTTCCTTGTCTGGGCCAGAGTGTAGGAGGCAGCGCAGGAATGTTGTGTCGTCCCCCTCTCCCCTGCAGTAGCGCTTGAGGTTGGGGTCTATGCACAACTTTTGCTGTTTGGAGCCAAGGGAGTTCTCACAGCCCTCCTGGCTTCAACTTGTGGGAGGACTGGAGTTCTGGCCAATGCGGTGCTCAGCACTAAATAACTCTGGCCAAACATGGAAACCTGCCGGTGCCAATCCAGGGACTTGGTTGTGATGATGCAATTGCTTGGCTGCACAAGACTGCTGAGGTCTCCTGTCAGATATATATATATATATATACATATATATATATATATATATATATATATATATATATACACACACACACATATACATATATACATATACACATATATATATACATATATATATATATATATACGTACATATATATACATACATACATACATATACATACGCACTTATATATCTGAACCAGTAAGCACAGCTAGCACTCACAGGCACATATATACACCTGATACACCTGATCACATGGATTTATGTAAAATTGGTTAATATGTAGAGGTAAGGTTAGGGTTAATATGAAATTTTGGTTTGAGTTAGTGGTAGGGTTAAAGATTAACATATGTATGTGAAAATATGAACAGTCCTAAGAATTTACATTAAAAATGTACCAAAACATATATAAACATACATGTTATGACACAGAGAAGAATACAATATGAGTCATGTGATTACACATGTTGTATATAAGTGGAGGTGAAGATATAAACTATAAATGACATATATTAGTATAGATGCAGATTTATCATTAAACAATTAAAATAGAAGTCAAAATACAATTTAAAATTTATTGGACTACATGAATTCAAGTCAAACTGGATTTAGATAAAAAGGTAATGTAAAGATAATATAAAATTTTGGTTTGAGTTAGGATTAGGGTTAAAGAATGGACATGTATACTGGGAAATATCTGTATTCATAAGATGAATGTGTGAAAATATGTTAAAAATACATAAAAAAACATGCATGGTATGACATTAGGGAGACTGTTATATGAATTATATGATGAGACATTTTGTAAATAGGGAGTTTCAAGGATATACCCTATAAATGATATACAATGATATGTATGTGAATTTAATATTGATCATTGAAAATAAAAGTCAAAATACACTTTAAAATTCTTATTGGTGTACAAGGACTGAAGTAAAATTTGCCTTTCTTATAGAAGTAATATAAAGGTCATTATAAAATTTTGGATTGTGTTAGGGTTTTAGTGTAAGAATGTATATGTGAATTGGGAAATATCAATATTCATAAGAATATACTGTGAAATTATGTATGAAAGCATATATAAAACCACATGTTGATACAGGCATAAGTAAAATGTGAGTCATGTGATTACAACTTTGGTAAACATGGGGATGAAGAATATATCCCATATACAATATATACCAATATATATGCAAATTTAATATTGATAATTGAACATATAAGTCAAAATACACATAAAATTTAATCATAGTGTACATACTTTTAATAAAATTTAGTTCAGTTACTTATTTGAGGAGAACTGATAATGCAAGTTATATAATAGAAAGTATTTTCAGGGTAACAAATTTTTACCATGACTGTAGGATACCTGGTCATTGAATTCATACCTAGAAGCATTGCTTAAAGAAACTATGCTTATATTTTAATGTAAAATTTTCCCCAAACATACTAAATGTTTCTAACTATGATGTGTCAGTACTCTTGGGAAGGAGGTTAACAAATGTCGACCTGACATTGAATAAGGAAAAACAAGAGACCAAACAGGGAAAGTCCTCCAGGTATAATTCCAGAACTGAAATGTTGATTTTGTGCCAGTTTCAGACTCTAATCTCTACTCCTGGGGGGAGTAAGGGAAGGAGAATTCATTTCACGAAATAAATTTGGGAAATGAGGTCAAAGAATCGGATCTCTTTCATAGAGCATTCTAATTAAATCCATTCCTCAACTGGCATGGAAATTCTTTTTGAGTACTGACACAGAGTGGAGTCAAGGTCAGTACTTGACTCTCCTGGATGGCCCCTCAGGAGAGCTTGTTTCCAAAGCACTGTCTGGAGGAATCCCATCTACTAACTGCAGGGCTGAAAGGAACAACACAACTTATAAATAAGCCTCATACATAAAGCACCTTTATGTATGTATACAGCTTTATGTATACAGCTTCACTGTAGCTTTTTTTATATAATCCAGAAATAATTGAGCCTTAACCTTGCTAAAAGTCATTTTACTACCCAACTGTGAAATGACAAAATTCCACTTAGATTCATTCCTCTTACTATATAAGTCAATCCTGGAGTGGCAATGTTTTCTAAATAAGTTTACAAATTACAATCTGCTCATTTTAGGATAATGAAGCCATATAATTTTGTCATTTTATTTTGTGTTGCCGATTCATAGAAAGCAGTCAAGTGAGAATAATCAGGGACTATTTATAAATCCTAAATGTCATTATTTAATAAAAAGACAAACATATATCATTTCTGTTTGTATTAAGCAGAATATAATACAAATGATAGTGTTAATGGGAAAAGTAACATTACCAATCACTCGGCCATTTCCATCACTTGAACGCTGGGCTGCTTTGGAGGGTGGGGAAGGGGCTTTTCGCTTTGTTCTCCTCAAAGATGAAGTTCCCTGATGGAGGAACTACTGAGCTGCAGTGAGCCTGTTCTCACTATGCCTGCTTCACAGGGACTCTGTAAAAAACAAAACCACCAAACACAATCCTATATTTAGAAATTAATTGCAAACCTTATGAAGACACAGATCTTTAAAACAAATCCATCATCTACCAAAATGAAGCACAATAGTAATTTATTCAAAAAATAGTTATGGAACAAAAGAAAATCTGTGCAGAAGTAAGGTAAAATGTAAGGAAAAATAAAATATATCCCTCCTCAATTAACTTAGACTAGGACAGGGGACAAATATGAAAATAACAAATTGAAATGTAAAAGGCTTTTGAGAAATACAGTTAAAAACCAACTTTTACAGAAGAATCAGAGAAATTATTGAATGTAAAGTAAGGGTTAAAAAGGGGAAGAGTACTGGTACACTAATAGCTGGCTTGGTTAATCTATCTCTTATTAGCACCAGTGTATCAGTGGAAAATGTTTCAAGAATTTATATTTACCCAAGATAAGGTCCTTGAGGTCACAGACTACAAAGGGCTACTGCTCACATTCCTGGCAGGTGAATGTCTGCAGAACCTAGGACTATCCTGCCTCCTCAGGCAGAATGATGCCTCCTGGCCAACTGCTACACCATCTTTGCTCTTTCACTTATAACAAAACTTAGAATTGTTCATAGTTTATTTCTGCAATTTCTCTTTTCCCATTTGCATTTCCCAATTAAACTTTTACCAACCCTTGACCCATTAACACTTTTCCTATCAAAATCACCAATGACCTTGACCACAAATAAATCAGTGGTCATTTCTCAGAACTCTTTTTTTTTTTTGGACCTGTTAGCAGCAATAAACATACATGACCTCCCTTCTGTAGTGCTTTTTCTTACCCAGAACACCACATTTCTCACTCTCAACAGATCCATACTCTGGCTGCTCTGCTTTCTTTTCATCTTCTGACCAACATTGGTGTCACCAGAACTCTGGCCATATTCTTGTTAATATCTATACTCACACTTTCTTGATGATTTGTTACCTTTAAGTTTTATATACATGCTGATGATTGTAAACTCATGTCTACTCCATCTGATGACCTGTTTTGGTCTCCACATCAAGGCCACTTCAACTTAGCACGTCTAAACCTGAAATCTTAGCAGTTATTCCTTTTCTTCCTTCTACCCCAAACTCTGTACTTCTCATGGTCTTTAACTCAGCAAAGAGCAAGTCATTTTTTCTATTTGCTGTCATCTCCTCTCTCATCATCCATAACAAGTCTACCCTGTTGGCTCCTCCCTTAAAAGACACCGAGCATCAGCTTGACTTCTACCATAGAGTCTGAATCATTGACAACACTCTAACAGGGCTCTGCTTCTACGCTGCATGCCTACTGTCTTTTCTCAACATAGCAGAAAAAAAGGATCCTGTTAAAGTGTGTAAGTCACTTCAGGATGTTTTGTTCAAAACCTTCTAGTATTTTCCCAATTGTCACAGAAAATCTAAGTCCTTTTAATTGATGTCCTGGTTCCTAGATGTCTCTGACCATCTGCAAGGACAGAATAGCTCACTCTAGTCACACGGGCCTTTTTGCTGCCTCTCATGGTGCCTGGAGAGTTTCTGGGATGGTTACCCTGGCTGTTCCTATACCTAGAACATTCTTCCTTCTGATAGCTTAATGTTTCCCTCCCTCATTTCCTTCTGGTTATTTCTCACATGTTACCTTCCAATGCCTTCCTCCCTGACTCCAAAATTTTCTATCCCATTTCCAAGCTTTATTTTTTTACTATCAGCCTTTAACAGCTTTTGGCTTATTTACTGGTTTATTATCTGCTTCCACTGAAATTGGCTGTAAGGGCAGGAACTTGTTTTTCTATTTTGCTCATTGCTGTAATTCTGGAACACCTGTTTGGCATACAGAAGTTTCTCAATAAATATTTAAGTGAGTGGAAAATGAATTCTGTATTTTCTTCTTCATGGGAAAGAAGTCTTGATAAACTTGGACTAGATGTTTGTGTAAATTTGGGTCATTCCAATCTTACAGGACCATGTAAGTACATCCAAGCAAAATAGTCCAATACATAAGAAGTTCTCTGTCTTTGTGCTCTGCTACACATCCAGAAAAAAGTGATGAATTTACTATTTCATAACTTTCTAATACTTCTGCCAGAGGAAAAAAACCTGCCCCAAAAGAAAAAAAATGATTTAAAAGCTATCATCATTGCCAACTGTGTGAGATACTAAAGACAAGGATGGATCACTACAGGGACAGAAACACAAGCCTACATGGCAGATTCTATACTATACAAACCCCTCATTCATAATTCCTAAGGATGGAGAGATAAGGTGGCTGGTGATCTCATCATCCCACAAAATATTAAACTTCTACCATATCAGTTGGTATATAGTTATAGCTAGCCCTTGTCATCATATTACGCCATTCCTTCTTTCAGAACTCAGACCTTTAATAATCTAGCAAGAAAATATAACCTGCCACTCAAAGTCAGATTTTGATTCTGAACCATTAAAGTCAATTCTGATTAACTATTGTGATCATCCCCCACCGAGAGGTCATGGGATGGATCCCCAACAGACCTCTGAAATAATTCAAGAGAAGGATCCTCAGTAATAAACAGATGATATAGAAATATAGTGAGGAATTAGCAGTAAATACTGATTTGTATAGATTATAATGCCTCTGTGGTCGGAAACTTTCACTTGATCTCTCATAGTATTAGCAAATTCAGAGAAACTCAAGGAGATGGGTAAATGCTAAAAGAACATTTTAAAATATTTGTCTAAAAATCTAAAGATGTTATTTCTTGAGAAACTGACTTCAGTTTAGCCTTATTCAAGCATCACTCTCACTGCAGACCTGGTTTATTAGTAACAATGCAGTAAAAGCACATCAAGTAATGACATCTTTGATCTTCCTCCTTAGTTTCATGTTTCTCATGTTTGGACTGATTGCTTTCATGAGGTATATAATAAAAATACTTCCACCTTAGGCCATATTCTCAATCACTGTCACTTATGGATCTCGCCTATTACATGCTAAAAGCAGTCATGATATGAACTTCACAGACAATAGTGTTTAAGAGCTAAAGACTTTCATAATACAGTAAAGCAGACAGCATAGAAATTTTAAAAATAGAGGAATTTTTATACTCACAAATTCATGTGAACATATCCATAACTCAAATTCAGAATACCCACATATTCATATATTTATCAGTCTGGAGATCCTAAAATAAGCTAGCATTTTTGTACAGAACATGAATATTTCTATGAACAAGGAATTTAAAACTTGTCAGAATAAATAAATAGCATTTATGAAGACACTTGAGGGAATGCAAAGCTATGGATACCTTGGGAAGCATATACGGTATAATCATTCTACAAAACACTGGTATAAATGGGTGTACATTTCTAGAGTTGCAGTTTGAAACACAGACCCTCAGAACAAGGACATTAGGAGAGACATGATTCTTACTAATTGATATGAGGTAGAACTTGTGCCTGTCATAACTAGATTCCATCTTATAATTAATAGTGAAAATTTGCTAAATAAAGAGACAAAATATAAATGTAACAATTAGTATAAGATGATCCAAAAGCAGGAGTTCTGACTTAATAAGAATTGTGAGATTACATAATCAACACAAGATTAATAATAGAAATGTAAATTTTGAGATGTAACACCAGTAATAGCATTTACAAAATAGCTTTATATTTTCAGTCGTCCTATGGGATACAGAAGAGGTGAGTTGTTTTTATAAAAAGAGACTCTCAGAAAAGAGCTTCAGTCAGCTAAGGTTATCAGCCAAAGAAAGTTACTAAAAGTCAAATTTGAAGTTTTTTGGGGTTGACTAAAATATCACTACTAAGAAAACCTAGAGGAGTACTTGGTCTTGAGGAAAAGACAGTCTGTATCTACTGAACATATCCTTCTCTTGGGTGAAAGTCTGCAGAAAAAGATGGAGTATTTACATTAGAACACTTAAGTATTTCTTGGTTAGATTGTAGCCAAGAAAGCTGGGTGTATTTAGATATGTATACTGTATATATATCCTAATACAAAAGACTGGAAAGTCTCCAAACACAGGAATACTTACAGCTAGAAAGTAGACTTCCTAAATTACCACAGTTATTTAAGTAATACACAAGTTTCCATTTAGAATGTATTCTCCTGTGTCCTTCAGGATGTGCTCCCAACAGTCTCCAAGTAACTCTACTTTTGCACTGATCAGAATTCAATCACCTAGTGTGCTGAAGGTGTATCTTTTTAAACCAGAGGGAGGTTCATAGAAGTTTTTTATGTTGGAAGATAGCTCACCATAATGGTGATCCCCAAAATAGACTATGGGGTCAACACTAGGGGCAGAACCAAGAAATGTGTCATTTACTGTCTCTGTGACCTTCAGTCTCCTCATCTATAAAAAGTAACCATATCTATGTTAAAAGGTGCTGTGATCCTTAAATGATCTCAGCATATATAAAATGGTGCCTAGTACACAGTACACGTTCCATATTTATCAGCTGTTATTACATGACATGTGAATGTATTCCGTAAACAAAATAAAAATATGATAGTTATTAAGGTTAAAGTGAAAAGTATGGATATTTAAAAAAGGAAGTATTTATGACTGCCTTTCTCTTTGGTGACAGTGGCATTGGGGGTCCTACTGCAATCAATCTCAGTTATGATCAACTTTAAAACCCAACAGTGTTCAATGTTCAGGAACCTGTGCTTAGTCCGCTGCATAAGCCAAATTTGCTGTTCTAAAATTCTCCACCTTTAATCACCTCAAGTTATTTCATCATACCATGAAGGACTTTAATAAAAGTTAAATATTTAACACTAGTTTGTTAAATGCTGGTGATGAGTACGTGAATATGCATTAGAGTATATAAATTTGAACAATCTAACAGGTGAAGTTTACATGAAGAATTAAATAAAGAATAATTTATAAATGTTTACCTTTTATAACCAGGATACATATCCTTTGGTCAAATTATATATATATATATATATATATATATATATATATATATATACACACACACACACATATACATACATATATATTTAACAGTGGTTAAAATTT